TTTATTTGGTGCTGAGGATCGAATCCAGCGCCTCACACATGTTAGGTGAGCATTCTACCACTGAGCCATATCCCCAGCCCCATTTTAAATTTTTTTAAATGCTACATAATCTGGGTCCTATTTGGACAGTTTTTATCCCATACCTTTATCTTCATATCCAGAACAATTTCTTCAAATAATCCATTTGATATGTAATAGTGAATAAGTACACACCTTGTTGGACAATATGACAAATAATATTTTCTTTTTTTTTAAAGAGAGAGAGAATTATTTATTATTTATTTTTTAGTTATTGGCGGACACAACATCTTTGTTGGTATGTGGTGCTGAGGATCAAACTCGGGCCGCACATATGCCAGGTGAGCACGCTACCGCCTGAGCCACATCCCCAGCCCAAATAATGTTTTCTTGATTTATAAATAAGACTAATTATTAGACTTTTTATTCAATAACTAGGCTAATAACTAGACTTTGTTTTGGGACTCACCATTAAATGCTGCATGTTCTAGTTTTACTATTTCTCTTGGAATACATAGAAAGTGAAAATGAAAAATAGGCACAGGGTGACAGAATATAGAACTAAGAATCCTGGATGCTAGGATTCCAAAACAAAGACCAGCCTCCAGCTGGAGTCAATGGCACATACCTGTAGACCCAGTAGTTCTGGAGGCTGAAGCAGGAGGATTTCGAGTTCAAAGCCAACCTCAGCGATTTAGCAAGGCCCTAAACAACTTAGCAAGACCCTGTCTCTAATTAAAATATTTTTAAAATGGGATGGGGATATGGCTCAGTGGTTAAGTGTTTCTGGGTTCAATTCCTGGTACCAAAAAAAAAAAAAAAGACTAGTGCCCCAAACTTATCTTTTTTGGTCCTGGGGATTGAACCCAGGGATGCTTAACCATTGAACTACATCCATAGCTCTTTTTATTTTTTTACTTTGAAGCAGGGTCTTGCTAAGTTGATGAAGCTGGCCTTGAACTTGTGATTTTCCTGCTTCAGCCTCCCAAGTTACTGGGATTATCAACTTATACCTTCATGCCCAGCCAAACTTATTATTATTATTATTATTATTTTTTAGAGAGAGAGAATTTTTTAATATTTATTTTTTTAGTTTTCAGTGGATACAACATCTTTATTTTTATGTGGTGCTGAGGATCGAACCCAGCGCCCCGCATATGCCAGGTGAGCACGCTACTGATTGAGCCACATCCCCAGCCCAAAACTTATTTTTAAATAGCTTTATTGAGATACAATTTACATACCATAAAATTTACCCACTTTGTAAAATTTAGTGACTTGTAGTAAATTTATAATTGTGCAGTCATTACCCAGTCATGTAGTTTTGATTTGCATTTCTCCAATTGCTAGAGATGTTGAACATCATTTCATATATTTGTTTGTCAATTGTATTTCTTCTTCTGTAAAGTGTCTGTTCAGTTCCTTTGCCCATTTATTGATTGGGTTATATGTTTTTTGTTTGTTTGTTTGTTTTTTGAGTTCTTTATATATCCTGGAAATTAATACTCTGAGGTGTGTGTGGTAAATATTTTTTTTCCCATTTTGTAGGCTCTCTCTTTATATTATTCATTGTTTCCTTTGCTGTGAAGAAGCTTTTTAGTTTGATTTCATCCCATTTATTGATTCTTGATTTTACTTCTTGAGCTTTAGGAGTCTTGTTAAGGAAGTCAGGTCCAAAGTCAGGTCCTATGATGGAGATTTGGGCTTACCTTTTCTTCTATTAGGTGCAGGGTCTCTATTCTAGTACCTAAGTCTTTGATCCACTTTGAGTTGATTTTTGTGCAAGGTGAGAGATAGAGGTTTAATTTCATTTTGCTACATATGGATGTTCAGCTTTCCCAGCACCATTTGTTGAAGAGGCTATCTTTTCTCTAATATTTGTTTCTGGCACCTTTGTCTAGTATGAGATAACTGTATTTATGTGGGTTTGCCTCTGTGTCTTCTGTTTTGTACCATTGGTCTGTGTATCATACTGTTTTTGTTACTACGGCTCTGTAGTATAATTTAAGGTCTGGTATTGTGATTCCTCCTGCTTCTTTTTTCTTGCTAAAGATTGATTTGGCTATTCTGCCTCTCTTACTTTTCCAAATGAATTTCATGATTGCTTTTTGTATTTCTATGAAGAATGTCATTGGAATTTTTAAAAAATCATTTAATTATAATAGGGGATAGGGGCTGGAGATGTGGCTCAAGCGGTAGCGTGCTCGCCTGACATGCGTGCGACCCGGGTTCGATCCTCAGCACCACATACCAACAAAGATGTTGTGTCCGCCAAGAACTAAAAAATAAATATTAAAAATTCTCTCTCTCTCTCTCTCTCTCTCTCTCTCTCTCTCTTTAAAAAAAAATAATAGGGGATAATGATGATATTTGACATAGTGGGTTTTTTTTTTTTTTGTACTGGGGATTGGACTTAGGGGCACTCGACACCCTATTTTGTATTTTATTTAAAGACAGGGTCTCACTGAGTTGCCATTGCTGAGGGTGGCTTTGAACTCACAATCCTCCTGTCTCAGCCTCCTGAGCCACTGGGATTGCAGGTGTGTGTCACCATATCCGGCTGTCATTGGGATTTTAATGGAATTGCATTAAATCTATATAATTATTTTAGAAGTTTTGACAATGTTAATTCTGCCTATCCAAGAGCATGGGAGATTGTTCCATCTCCTAAGGTCTTCTTTAATTTCTTTCTTAAGTGTTCTGTAATTTTCATTGTAGAAGTCTTTCATTTCTTTTGTTAGATTGATTCCTAATTTTTTTTTGAGGCTATTGTGAATAGGGTAGTTTTCCTAATTTCTCTTTCAGTGGTTTCATCACTGATGTATAGAAATGCAATTGATTTATGGGTGTTAATTTTATTTCTTGCTACTTTGCTGAATTCATTTATTAGTTATAGAATGTTTCTAGTGGAATTTTTTGGATCTTCTACATATAGAATAATGTTATTGGAGGGGAAGGGAGGGGGCATAGGGTTAGAAATGATAGTGGAATGTGATGGACATTATTGTCCAAAGTACATGTATGAAGACACAAATTGGTGTGAATATACTTTGTATACAACCAGAGATTTGAAAATTTGTGCTCTATTTGTGTAATAAGAATTGTAGGGCTGGGGTTGTGGCTCAGCCGTAGAGTGCTCACCTGGCACATTTGAGGCCCTGGGTTCAATCCTCAGCACCACATAAAAATAAATAAAAATAAAGGTATTGTGTCTAACTACAACTAAAAAATAAATATTAAAAACAAAGAGGAATTGGAGGGGCTGGGGTTGTGGCTCAGTGGTAGAGCACTCGCCTACCATGTGTGAGGCCCTGGATTCAATCCTCAGCACCACATAAAAATAAATAAACAAAATAAAGGTATTGTGTCTAACCAAAAAATAAATATTAAAAAAAAGAATTGTAAAGCATTCCACTGTCATATATAAATTTAAAAAAAAATTTAAAATCATGTTATTGGCAAATAGTGATAGTTTGAGTTCTTCTTTTCCTATTTGTTCCCTTTAATTTTTTTCTTCTGTCTAATCACTCTGACTAGAGAGAAACTGACAAACTATTTTTAGGGTTCTGTATCATTTTACATTCCCATCAGCTATGTGTGAGAGATCCTGATGCTCTGCATCCTCTCCAACCTTTGGTATTGTTGCTACTTTTAATTTTAGCTATTTTAATAGATGTGTCATGATATATCATTATGGTCTTAATTTGCATTTCTTTAATGAGTAGTGATATTGGACATATTTTCATGTGCCTATTGACTGTCTTTTTATCTTTTTTGAAATATTTCTAGATATGAGTTCTTTATAATATATGTGGCTTACGTATATGTTCTTCCATTCTGTAGTTTATCTTTTCACTTCATAAATACTTTGAAGAGCAAAATTTTTATGAGATCCAGCTTACAGTTTTGTTTTGTTTTATGGATTCATAGTCATGTTTGTGTCATGTTTCGGATGCCTTTACTAAGCCCTAGCTCCCAAAGATTCTCTTTGGTAGAAGTTTTATAGTTTTACATTTAAAATTTTTAAAAATTTAATTTTGAATTAATTTTTGTGTGAAAGTGGCCAAGGTCCACTATTTTATCTATATCCTTCCTCCATTGAATTGCTTTTATACCTTTGTCAAGGATCGGTTGACTCTGAGTGTGCGGTATTTTGGGTTCTCTATTTTGTTCCATTGATCTGTGTTTCTATCCTTCTGCCAGTACCCTCATCATGAATAATATGATTATATAACCAGTCTTGAACTCAGGAAGTGGTTTCTCTAAGTCTTCTTCAGACTTGTTGTAGCTATTCTAATTTTAAAGATCCTTACTATACAAAATATCATTCTGGAATTTTGATAAGAATGACATTGAACTTGTTTATCATCTGGAGAACTGTCATCTTTATTTTTGAGGTGGATAACTGGGGATTGAACCCACAGGTACTCTGCCACTGAGCTGCATGCATCTCCAGCACTTTCTTTCTTTCTTTCTTTCTTTCTTTCTTTTTTTTTTTTTTTTTTGAGATAGAGTCTTACTGAATTGCTGAGGCTGCCAACTGCCTCTGGGATTACTCCTGCCTCTGCCTCCTGAGTAGCTGGGATCACAGGTGTGCACCACTGTGCCTGGCATGAGAACTGTCATCTTAACTTTTTTTTTTTTTCTTATAATTCAGAAAGGCTGAGAATTTCCTAAATTGAATTCTGGTCCCTTTTGAATAGCAGTTTCTCCTCTCATCCTTTCCTCTTGTGTTTTAATATAAATAACAAGAAGAAACTAGGCTGCATCTTCAACACCATGTTTAGAAATTGCGTAAGTTAAGTATACAAGTTTATCACTTGGAAGTTGTGCTTCCATGCAATTGTTGGCTACAATTCAGCCAAACTTGCTACTAGTGTTAAAGAATATGTACCTGGGGGCTGGGGTTGTGGCTCAATGGTAGAGCACTTGCCTAGCACATGTGAGGCCCTGGATTTGATTCTCAGCGCCATATAAAAATAAATAAATAAAATAAAGGTATTGACAACTACAACTAAAAAATAAATATTAAGAAAAAGAATATCCCCATTTTGCCTGCGTCCTCCAGGAGCCGTCCTATCTCCTCGTACCTAGCATCCAAGGAAATGTGCACCGCTGGAGTGGAAATGGGCAGAGCGATGGTGGTCACGCTGGGGCTGGGGCTGCTGCTTCTGGCACTGCTCCTACCCATGCAGATTTATTCAAACCAGACAGCTGTTGTGACACTTTCAAGTAACTCCTCACAGAGTACCTCTGCTGCTCCCAATTCAACACCCAGCACAGGTGGCAGTGCCCTGCAGTCAACAGCGAGTCTCCTTGTGATCTCGCTCTCTCTTCTACATCTCTACTGTTAGATACTCAGGCCAAGAAATGTCTCTACTTCCCCATCTTCCAAACCCAATCAGAATGGTGACTAGAAGTCCAGTGTGTCAAGGAAGAAGTTGGTCTGCATCAAATCTGTCAATTCCACACCTGATTTTATTGGCACAGAAAACACTGAGAATTACAAATTGATTGGTTTGAAGGACATGTGAAGGGTTTCACAAGTGATGAATGCCAATATTAAATCTGCTGGAGTTTCATGTGCAAGATAAAAAGAGATAACATCCAAAATTGAGACATGATTTCCTTGAATGAGGCATAAGAAATATGGACATTTAAAACTCTATCTTGAAAACAAGAATAGATTTTGTCTAGAGATAAAGGATGGAATATGGAATGGAGATTTCAGTTTTTATTTGGTTCATGAAATCTATAAGGCCATAAAACAGGTAATATAAAAAGCTTCCATGATTCTATTTATATGTACATTAGAGGGAACTTCCAGGTGTTACTGTAAATCCTCAATGTATTGTTTCAGCAGTACTAATTTAATGCAAATATATTCTAGAAAAAGTTTCACATTGTTAAGCTATTTCTGTTCCTTTGGGAACTGAACTCTTTCCTCTGTGGTTTTTGAATTTGACATTATGTTTGAACTTTTATGTAGTAATTGACATGTGCCAGGGCAATGATAGATTGGAACCCACCCCAAATCCAGGCATCAGGAGTCTTGCTTATCCTCACAAAGTCAAATGGTAGGCATCTCCCATCTCCTATTTTCATTCAACAAGAGTGCCAGATTCCTTTAGCTAAACTGATTCCACAGAGTAGAATTGCATTGACCTCAACTAATTTCAGAATGCTGCTTTTTATTTCTACATTTGTTGAATACGTTTCACAATTGAAAATGGTCCACTTTGAAGGTAAAATGGCAAATCTTGAAATTAGAAACGCAACTATGTGAAGAAGCCAAATTTATAAATCATCATTTGGGAAGTGAAGACTGGAAGCTAGCTTGCATATTAAATTCACAAAAACTTTCATACTTTTTCTGTAAATACTTTTTTTTAAACTATGGATCAGAATAGCCATATTTGGAACACTTGCTGTTATTAGTCAATATTTTTAGGTAGTTAGAACCTGATCCTAAGCTTAAAAGTGGTCTTGATCCTCTAAATCTTTTACAACTGCCTTGATACACAGAAATCTTTTGAAAAATACACTCTCCCTGAAATCTTTTGTTCACATGGTCACACATTGATGCTTACATGTTCCAGTATCTAATATGGCCACCGCAGTCTTGATAACCCAAATCATTTTTCTCATCTTTAGAAACCTACACGGAACAACCAGATCAAACAGATCTAAAGCTACTGTGTGTGTGAATGAATACGCCCCTTTGCTTCATACCTGAATGCTGTACATCTATGTAGATTGTATATTGTGTTTGTGTATTTATGCTTTGATCCATAGTAACTTCTCATGTTATGGAGTTGATTTGCATTGAACACAAACTGTAAATAAAAATAAATAAATGGCTGAAAGAGGGGGGAAAAAAAAAGAATATGTACCTTATGTACCTGATTTCAGTCTGAACCCTCATCAACAACACATTTAATGTATTGTTAAGTGTATTGTCCAATGTATTTAATGTATTTAGTGTCCAATTTTCTGCCAGTAGTATGTTTATGATGTTTAGATATTCTCCAAAATAATATAGACATTCTTCACTGTGCTCCTCATTTCCTCTTGAGTCCTTGGTGGCAGAGTTTTAAACATCCACTTTTCTACTACAATTTGTTTATGGCAATCTAGGCTTTTTCTCCTCAAAATTCTTTCAGTCTCAGCCCCTTACAATTAAAAAGCCAGTTTCAGGTGCATGTCCATAATCCCATCTACTCAGGAGGCTGAGACAGAAGGATCACAAGTTTGAGGCCAGCCTGGAGATCCTGTCACAAAATTTTAAGATAAAATAAGAAGGGATAGAAATATAGCTCAGTAGTAGACCACTCTGGGTTCAATCCCCATTACCACACATGCACACAAATTCAGTTGCCATCTTCAGTGTCAATTCTCACTTGCTTCCCTCATCTAAGGGAATTTCTGATTACATTTAGATCTCTTCCCCTCAGTACAGGATAATTTCTCTGTCTAAAATTCTTACTCATATCTGTAAAGGTAACATTCACAAGTCCTAGGGACTAGCAATTGCATAACTTTGGGGGTCAACTATTAAGTCTACTATAGGTTGAATACCCTTTATTTAAAATGCTTGGTATCAGAAGTGTTTCAGAATTTTTCTGATTTTGCAATATATATTTGCATAGACTTTACTGGTAGAGTATTTCTGATCTGAAAATCCCAAATCTGAACCTCTTGTGTTGGTGCTCAAACAATTTTGAATTTTAGAGCATTTTGGATTTCAGATTTTTGGATTAGGGATGCTTAATTTGTATGTGTTCTGTGGACTCTTTAAAAGAATGAGCATTAGCTGGGTGTGGTGATACACATCTGTATTCCCAGCAACTTGGGAGGCTGAGACAGGAGGATCACTTGTTCAAAGCTAGCCTCAACAACTTAGTAAGGCTGTAAGCAACATGATGAGACCCTGTCTCAAAATAAAAAATCCAAAGGGCTGGGGATGTGGCTCAGTGGTTAAGAGTGCCCAGCTTAAAATAATAATAATAAAAAATAATAATAAAAGAATGAGTATTGTACTGATATTGGGAATTTTTTTCTTTCTTTCTTTTTTTTTTAGAGAATTTTTTAATATTTATTTTTTAGTTTTCGGTGGACACAACATCTTTATTTTATTTTTTATGTGGTGCTGAGGATTGAATGCACATGCCAGGCGAGCGTGCTACCGCTTGAGCCATATCCCTAGCCCCAATGTTTTTTTTTTTAACTTTATTTATTTTTATGTGGTGCTGAGGATCGAACCCAGGGCCTTGCAGGTGCTAGATGAACACTCTACCGCTGAGCCACAACCCCAGGCCCATAGGAATGTTTTAAAATGTCAATTAGATCTTGCTAATGAATTCTATATCTCTCCTGATTTTCTGTGTATTTTCCTGTTGTCGAGAGAAGGATATCACAGTCTCCAACTATACTATTGATTTGTCTTCCCTTTTGGTTCTGTTGTTGATTTCACAGCTCTGTTATTGGCTACATACATGTTTAGAGTTGCTCTTGTTGATTGACTCTTTTCTTATTATATAATGTCTCTTTCTGTTTCTGGTAATTTTCTTTACTCTGAAGTTTACTGTAGCTAGTATTAGTATAGTCATTTCTGCTTTTTTTTGGGGGGGGTACTGACATTTTAACCTAGGAGTACTTAACCAATGAGCCACATCTCCAGCCCTTTTAATTTTTTAATTTCGAGATGGGGTCTTGCTAATTTGCTTAGTGTCTTGCTAAATTGCTGAGCCTGGGACTGAACTTGTGATCCTCCTGCTTCAGCCTCGAAAGCCATTGGGATTACAGGTGTGGGCCACCACGGCTGGCCTCCTGCTTTCATTTGATTCATGTTTGTATAACATATCTCTTTCCATCCCTTTAATTTCAACAGATATGTCCAAATGCAGCATATATAACTGTATTTGATGTGAGTTTCTTTTAGATAGCTTATAAGTGGAGATACACACACACACACACACACACACACACACACATATATATATATATATGTATAATTTGTATATATGTATAAATTCTGCTCTACCAGTCTGTGGTTTAAATTGTACATTTAGACCTTTTACATTTAAGATGATATATTAGGACTCAAGTCTGCCATTTCACTTTTTGTTTTCTGTTTGTTCTCTGTTTATTTTTTCTCTTTTTCCTTAGAATTACTTTGAATACTTTAAAAAATTTCAGTTTAATGTATTTATATTGTTTTTAAGTGTATGTCTTTGTATAACTTTTTTTTTTTTAAGAGTTAGTTTAACAGGATTTATTTTGCAGAATACCATTGGCCTCGGTCCTATCCTTGATAATAATGGTGATTTTTTAAAAATATCTTTATTTTTTTATTTTTATGTGGTGCTGAGGATCAAATTCAGTGCCTCACATGTGTGCCGAGGCAAGCGCTCTGCCACTGAGCTGCAGCCCCAGCCCTTTGTATAACTTTACTGACTGCTCTAGGAGTGTATGTGTATATGCATTTATGTTATATATAACAACCTTATGTTTAAATGAATACAGTCTACTGGTGTCATTTTACCAGTTTGGATGAGATAGAGACACTTACTCTCACCAATTTAGATAAAATTTTCTTAAATTTATTTCTTATATTACATTGGTGACTACATCATAATTTTTTGTCTCAGCCTTCAAACATAATCTAGAAAACTTAAGAGGAGATGCAAAGTTTTTAGTATACACATATTTTCCTTCATTTATTTATTCTGTGTGCTGAGGGTAGAACTTGGTAATTGCTTAAAATATATAATTAACCTTTTGCCATGTGTGCTTTATCATATATCTATTTATCCATCTGTCATCTGTCAGTCAGTCCATCTTTTTAGGCATTTCCAAGTTGCAAGTACTGTAACAGAGCCCCTTTTAAATTAAAAGCAACTTCCTCGTAACTGCATTTCTGTATCTGGAGTTTTCTCCTGCTGAGATGAGAAAGTGAGAAGCTACCTAGTGGCACCAAGGAAACCATGTAACATTTCCAATTGGCACAGCCTAGCTAAATCAACATGTATATTTCTCACCTTTTGTCCCACTATACCCCCTGTCCTTTTATAATATCCATTTGTGCCCCTGCCCATCCCCAAGCAAAGATGTTGACTGGAGATAGAAAAGTCTCCTATGTGTCTTCTAAGACATTCCAGATACATTACAAGATGAGGGAATTGTGTCACTCTTTTCTATTTTCCTTCCCTGATGTGTCCCATAAGTCTTCCTAAAAGGCCACCAAGAGATACTCCCATACCCAGATGTGCATCTGGCTGTGCACTTCTGAAACATTCTGGAGTTGAGTTCTCCTAGGGTGAGCGGAAAGAGCATCCAAACAGGGTGGTCTCCTGGTCATGGGGCTGCTGTGAAAGGCTCTTGCTTTCCTGGCTTCTAAGGGACCATGCTTATTTTCTATTTGGGTGTAATACTGTGCTAACTAAGGAAATTAGAAGAGGGATGAGATTGTGTCCTCAGGGACCGGAAAAGAGCACAAAGACAGAGAAGGAGTCACTGAGGAACTGTGCCTGCCTAGACTATTGGTTCCCAAGGCCCCTGGCAAAAATATCCTTTTTTTTTTTTCCTGGCAAAAATATCCTTTGGGAGACTATTGGTGAAGGGCCAAGGTAATTAAATTTTTTGGTTAGACATATTAAAGACAATGGCAAAATGGAGGGGGGGTGTATTTTACTGGGATTATGATTGTATTCCAAAGAGGCTCCAATCAGGCTGCCTCATTGTGTTGCAGATCTTAAAATGCTGGGTACTAATGTCATGAAAGTCATCTTGACTTTAAAATTATTTAGCACAAAATTGTTGAACACTTATTAAAATGCTCTTGGAGGTATATTTCCCCTCCCTAATTCTGTTTTCTAAACCATGTGACAATGGACAGTGTTGGGACCCATTTTAGGAATTCACTAAAAACATGAAAAATCATGAAATAACTGTTAAGTCGGTGGGGGCGACTTGGTGGTGACTTAGTGGCAACTTAGAACAAAGCAGCCCACCCCGAAAAAGAACATCAATCAGATGCCAGCAGAAACGCCTGTCAATCAACAGGACCCCCCTGGCCAATCCTGGAGTTCAGCCAACTCCCCTGATCAACTTCAAGGGGGCAAGGGACCCTAGAAACACCTTTTCCTGTCCCAAGCCCTTCCCTTCCTGCTGTAAGCCCCATAAAAGTCCAGTCTCCTCAGACCCTTCTCCTGTCCCCTCTGTGGGTCTGATCAAGTTCCCCCCGGGAGTGATATCTCAATAAAGCCTGTTCAGCAGTCCTTTTAAATCTGCCTCCTTTGGCCATTGCTTGCCCCGACTGATCTGACAATAACTTTTTTCCTTGGCCTTTTTTTTTCTTTTTTATATTTATTTTTTTATATTTATTTTTTAGTTTTCGGCGGACACAACATCTTTGTTGGTATGTGGTGTTGAGGATCGAACCGGGCTGCACGCATGCCAGGCGAGCGCACTACCGCTTGAGCCACATCCCTGGCCCCAGGAATCTTAATTTTTAGAAATATTCTCTTGAAAAACATTTCAGGTGGTTGGGAGACTGAATCACCATTTTGACTTTTGCCTGATGCTTTACTGGTAATATTGATCCAGTCTGTACCCATTACCAGTTGTGCAGGTGGCTCTTCTGCCCTGAATATTTATTTCTACATGGTTCTCTTTTACTTTCTCTTTGTAACTGTTTGGGAAGTTTACACTATCATCTCTGAGCTATTAATTAATATGTGTAGACTGTATTGTTATACCCTGTTTTTAAAAGCTCATGACGTGGCAAATGCAAAAAAAATATTGCAAAAAAATAACAAATACTTTTTATACCTAGGGCAACTTTTGTGAAAAACCTGTATTTCAAGTAC